AAGCGAAGACACTCAGTCCATCACCAGTCAGTGGCCAATGTAGTGAACGCATCCTTGGCCGAGATCACCCAAGGTACTCCACCACGTAGCGAAAACGTTGTCACCTTAGCTGAGCCTGGGCTAGACTTGCAGGCTCCGAAACAATTTTTTTCCAGCGTGGCTGTTTCTGTCAGCAGTCGGGTGAGTTCCAAAGACAAGGCCAAAATCTGGTCCAACGAATATCTTGATTTTGGAACTCTCCTCTCGTTTTCTCCCAATAATCAAAAGTTTTCTCTGTCTCTCGCCTCTTCGGATGGTGAGACTACCCGCCCTCAATTAACTTTAGAACCTAGCCAACCAGTTAAAAAGATCCTAACTATCAAACAGTGGCTCTCTGCATTTAATATTTTTGTTGCGATCTATTCGGAAAAACTACCCACGGACACTCCCAAGGTGATGAAATATTGTGAAATTGTCCGCGATATCGCCGCCAGGTGACTGGCTGTATTATGACGAACAATTTCGTTTCATAAGGTAATCGGCCCCTGCGCAATGCCCATGGGACGCTATTCACTGGGAACTTTGGCTAAGGGCTGTGACAAATTTTCGTCCGAAAACCCAATTTTCGTCGGACAAGGGACCACTGCGCTCCCGCTCCCAGTCCTTTCCAAGAGGCACATGTTGGTTGGCGTTTCCATGCGGGTAAGGTGTGCACCGGGTGCCGTTTCGAACACATTTGCTATAAGTGTGGCTCAAAACACCCTGCCGCACAGTGTTCCTCCAGTCAACCTAAAACACACCTCGTCAAAGCAGGTATTTCAAACGCTGCACAAGCCAGTAAAACCCGTAAAGGTGGATCGACTTAATTTCCTTCTTAGCGGATACGAAACTTCTCTCCGCCTTTATTTAGTTAATGGGTTTACTTTTGGTTTTCACGTTGGTTTTGATGGGGAACGCTGCGCGTTGCACTCACCCAACCTTAAAAGCGCTTTAGACCAACTGCAAATCGTTCGGACCAAACTACGTAAAGAGTGTGAGACCAGGAGGATATGTGGTCCTTTATTCGCCCTCCTTTTCCCAACTTTGTTTGTTCTCCTTTAGGCATTGTTCCCAAAAAAGACCCCTCTGAATTCCGTTAAATTTAACACTCATCGTACCCTCATGGCACCTCAGTTAACGGTAACAAACCGGACATACATTCTTCAGTTCACTACGCTTCTATTTCTGATGCCATTGCCGTACTTAAGAGTTTAGGGGCTGGTTGCTTTTTTGGGCAAAACCGATATTAAATCGGCTTTCAGGATTATTCCAATTCATCCGTCCGATTTTCCTTTGCTAGACATGAAATGGGATAATCAGTTTAACTTTGACGTATGTCTTCCTATGGGACTGTCTTCCTCGTGTCAAATTTTTGAAGCTTTTAGTTCTTCCTTGGAGTGGATCTCTGTGCACCGATTTGGCGCATCCGGAGTTCTTCTCATTCTCGACGATTTTCTTTTTACTGCACGTACCGAAGAGCAATGCCGCACAGATTTAAGCAATTTTCTTCGTATGTGTGATTATCTCGGCGTACCCATTGCTCAGGAAAAAACTTGGGGACCATCTCAAGTCATACAATTTGCGGGAATCACACTCGATTTAGTTAATCAGGAAGCCCGTTTGCCGTAAGATATTACGCCTATTTGTTGAATCCTTTTGCAAACGTCGTAAAGTTACTTTGCGAGAATTACAGTCCCTAATAGGCCTATTAAATTTTATCTGTTCTGTCATCGTCCCTGGGCGTGCTTTTTAATTTATCTCACTAAGGAAACCAAACACGATATGGAGTTATGGCTAAAATTTCTGAGGGAATTTATTGGGCGTTCCTTTTTCTTGGATAATAAGTGGAACACATCTCTTCCTCTCGAACTGTATACCGGTGCAGCCGGATCAAAGGGCTATGGTGCTATCTTTGGCCCTCACTGGTTCTACGGCTCTTTTACGGATCAGTGGCAATCTTTAGATATTACCTTTCTTGAACTTTTTCTTATTGCCCTCTCGGTGCGTATGTGGGGTTCTCAGATGGCTAACCGATGTATCGTGTTTGTTACTGATAACGCTGCGCTGGTCAGTATAATCAATCAACAGACATCCAAACGCAAATTAGTTATGATATCGATCCGTGACTTGGTTCTAACTGCTCTCAATTATAACATTATCTTTCGTGCTCGTCATATACCAGGTGTGGTGTTTTTGGCCAGCGACCAATACACTTTGAGCATGCGCACTTATCCGCCATTCCGAAACAAAAGTCCGTTCGAGTCAAAGACATGACAGAGGCAACGTGGTAATATTCAAGATATTATGACCACTATTGGGAGAATAGAGAGTTTTGATGACACAAACCTATGTGAAACCTATTTGGAACGGGTAGAACAGTTTTTCTTGGAAAACGACATCGATGATGACCATAAAGTGCCAACTTTGTGGAGGTTGATCGGCGGGAAAACCTACACTCTGCTGAGGGATCCTCTTGCACCGGAGAAGCCAGCTACAAAGTCCTTTCAACAGATAGTTACCACTCTCGAGGAGCATTTGAGCCCGAAGCCCTTGGAAATTGCGGAAAGATTTCTTTCTTACGTGGCCGAGCTAAGGAAGCTTGCGACACACTGTAATTTTGGCGGGAATCTGAACGAAGCGCTACGAGATAGACTGGTCTGTGGACTTCGAAATATGCAGATCCAAAAGCGATCACTGTCAGAAGCCAAACTGAAGTATTCCAAAGCTGTGGAGATTGCTCTAGCAATGGAAACTGCCATCCGCGATGCCGCAGAATTACAAAGTGAGCTCAAACCCAACCAAGTCCCTCACGTTGACAAGTTGACCGAACACAACAAACCAACACCAGCGATACCGGCGACTGACCCCCTCCCCCCCCTTGCTACCGCTGTGGTAGGAGCACACATATGACACACAATTGTTTTTACAAGGACCAGATCTGCCACCAATGTGGAAAACATGGCCATATCCAGCGAGTTTGTCGTTCCAAACAGCAAGGCAAGCCTAAGCAAGCAACCAAAACCCCAAAGGTACATGCTGTTGAGGTTGATGTTGATGCATATGAAGACGTATTAGCCACCTTCGAGGTACACAATGTGAGGAAACTGAGCAATGATATTATCTGCGTTAATTTGCCCAAAACTGGACTGTCCTTGAAAACCTACACCGGGGAAAACCTTATGCTAGTGGAAGTGCTCAAAGTACCCGTGGATTACCAAAACCAAAGAGAGGTGCTGGACCTGTAAGTCGTCAAGAATAAGGGTCCTGTTCTAATGGGAAGAGATTGGCTACGCACAATACGCCTTGACTGGTGTTCTATCAAGTCGCTGCAGGCTTCAATAGCTACCTCAAGTCCTAAAGAGCGTTTGGACGTTATGCTAGACAAGGACTCAAATGTTTTTGAAAATAAACTGGGCACCTTTACATCAGCCAGAGCGAAGTTAACTCTTAAAGACGATCAATAGCCAAGCACGCTTCCTCAAGGCCAGACCGATGCCGTATGCATTAAAGCCGAAGGTGGAGGAGGAACTGCGAAGACTCCAGAATAAAGGTATTCTCACTAAAGTGGAGTGGAGTGAATGGGCCACACCGATTGTGCCTGTTCCCAAGAAAGAAAGATGGTTCTGTCAGGCTATGTGGTGATTACAAGATCACAGTGAGTCCAGAACTACAAGCGGAGCAGTACCCTTTTCGTCGCATTGAAGACATCTTTGCAAACCTTGCTAGTGGGCAGAAATTCTCAAAGATTGACCTCCGCCAAGCATATCACCAAATAGAGATGGAAGAAGATTCAAAGAAATACCTCACAATCGACAGCAATATGGGACTGTTTCAGTACAACCGACTGGTGTTTGGCATCACCTCTGCACCTGCTATCTGGCGGCGCACCATTGATCAAGTGTTAGAAGGGACGTCTGGAACAAGCTGTATCCTTGATGATATGATCATCACTGGAAAGAATGATGATGAGCATCTTGCCAACCAAGAAGAAGTTTTACGTCGCTTATAGGCTCATGGGTTAAGAGCAAACAAGACAAAGTGAGAGTTTTTCAAAGAAAAGATAACCTTCTGTGGACATGCTATTGACAGTCATGGTCTCCACAAGTCACCAGAAAAAGTGGAAGCAGTTTTGAAAGCGCCTCGCTCATGCAATGTAGCTGAACTGAGGTCTTTCCTGGGGTTAGTCAATTATTACAATAGATTCTTGCCCAATCTGTCAACTATGGTTGTTGTCAGACTAAAATAGACTGGAACAATGGAAATCGCTACCCTGACGGTAGATTGGATATCCGGCGAATCTTAATATTACCATTAACTTTTGCGAACTTTGCTTTTTCTCTCTTTTTTCTTTCTTCTAAATTATAGTTCATTTAAGAAGCTATATCGAACACAACAACACAATCTCGTTTTAAATTCAACACACCTCTCGATGTCTATCGGATGAAAAACGTCGGGTCGTGTTTGATATTTCTATATTTTCAACGTTACAAAATGAACATAGTCAAGTCTGAAATTATCCGACTTACAAGTCGGCGAATTCAGTCACCCACTGAACAAAATTTGCTGGGTGAACAATTGATTCATAAGGATCAGCCGTCAGCTGATGATTATGATGATTTAGTGAGGAGAATCTGTCATCCAAATTTAAAGTTGACTGAGTTTAAAGAACAGGATGAGCCATTTGAAGACACCATTTTCAAATTGGAAAACAATTGAAAACTATGACTAAAATTTAGTTTACTAATTAAAAACAAATTGAATAACAACGAATCAAGAAAAACGTAAACTTGGGAAATTCTTAGTTGTTTTCAGATTAAAATAAAAACAATGGAAACCACTAACCTGATGGCCGGTGGCCGGGATTGGATATCGGATCTTGATATTACTATTAACTTTTGAAAAATTTGTTTTTTCAGCCTTCCTATAATATTTCTTCAAAATTATCGGAGCTATATCAAACACGACAACACAAATCTCGTTCA